TTTCCCTACTTCTGCAGCACTAGGAAGAGCTTCCATCCTGGCTCTGGGGGGGGATCCTGAAGCCCCCCCCCCCAATTGGCTTGACAGAGAGAACAACAACTCTTCATATTTTCGAAGGCAGTGGGATTAAATAACCCAGCAAACTCTGGGTGGAAAAAGATGCCAGTTTTGCAACTAGAAACATAAAACGAGCTGAAAGAGGAGACACGTCTTAGCGTTTATGCAATGCTTTTTGAAGTGTTCTTAGTGCTTCCTGTGTTTTCCCTCAACATTCCTTTCAACAGTCCTTTGACAGGTGAATTGTTATTAACCTGACACTGGAAGTGGGGGCTGCAGTAGAGGCTCAGATTAGGTGTCGGGACTGGAGGACTTCCAAGTCGGGAAGGGAACAGAAGGGTTCCCAAAGGGGTGGGAAACCAGGTTCTTCACCAAAAAAGGGAAGGGGATTCTGCTCCAGCAGGGGTAGTAAGTCCCCCGATTTGGCTAATTGGAACCGGCCCCAGGTTAGGAGATGCTACGGCTGTGGAGGGACAGACCACCTAAGGGTTGCCTGTCCTCAGTCACCAGCAGAATCCTCCAAACGTCCACCAGCACCAGCTAACCAAAAGGCGAAAGAGGAGCGTGTGTCTGTAGTCAACCACGAGTGCCTCTTTGCCAGATTGGAGCCAGCAGAAGCCCAGAGCTACTGTGGTGACAGCCCTGTGGGTTTAAACTCTCCTGTGCCCCACAGATGTATGAAGTGTGGGCTGGGACAGGTATGCTTTTTTAAAAAATAGTAAAATGGATGCACAAGAGAAGGGATCTGTGCCTTCCCTCTCCCTCCAACCCTCTTTCAGATTCATCTAAGCCAACGGTCTTTGCCTCAGCCTTGTGGCTGTGAGTTCCACGAGGCAGCTACTATTTCCTTTTGTCTGTCTTTAACTTGCTGCCAGTCAGTTTCATAGAAGGACCCTTAGAATTATGGGAGAGGGAGGAAAGTTTCCGTCTATCTGCTTTCTCTACACCATGTGTAGTTCTGGTGACCTCTGTCATGCCATTCTCAGTTGCATTTTTCCCCTAGTCCCAGATGTTTTAGCCTTGCCTCATAGGGCAGGCAGGTGCTCCAAGTCTCTGATCATTTCGGTTGCTTTTTTCTGCATTTTTCCCAGCCCTTCAGCTGTTCAGCATCCTTTCTGAGATGCAGGGACCAGAACTGTACACGGCCACACCAGGGGCTTGTATGAGAGCACTGCTATGCTGGCAGTTTTATTCTGAGTCTATGATTCCTAGTCCTTTTTTTAAAAAAATTATTTTTTTGCCCTAATTTCCATTACTTTGCATTTATGGACAGTGAATTTTATATGCCATTTCATGGCCCATTCATTCACTCAGTTTGAAGAGGTCATTTTGGAGCGCTTCAAACAAATAATCCCCTTCTATTTTCCCCATTGTCACCAATTTGGTGTCATCCACAAACTTTGTTACTTCACTGTTCACTCCAAGTCCCAGGTTATTTATGAATAAATTAAATAGCACTTGTCCCAGCACAGATCCCAGAGACCTCACTGTTCTTTCTCCACTGTGAAGGCTGCCCATTTATTCCCTCCCTGTGTGTGTGCTTTTTAAGAAAGTTACCATGAAAGGATAGGTCCTTTTACCCCATGGATGTTAAATTTACTAAAACAATCTTTGGAGATGCCCCTTGTCAAACATTTTTTTGGAAGACCAAGTATACAGTGTCTACAGAGTTACCCTTGTCTGCCTGCTTGTTGATACTCTGAAAAAATTCTAAGTGTTCAGTGGGGTATGACCTACCTTTCCAGAAGCCATGCTGATTCCTGTTCAACAAGGCTTGTCCTTCTATGTACTCAACATTTCTGTCTTCAATAACACGTTAAGCTAACCAGTGTATAGTTTCCTAAAGCCCCCCCCCGATCCCTTTTTAAAAATCAGTATGACATTGGCTATTTTCCAGTCTTTAGGCAGAGAGACTAATATGGATCAAAGAAACTGGGTTAGTCTTGAGGGCCAAACTGTACAAGATGCTGGGAGATCTGTTAATGTTCTACCAGGGGTTTTTAAATGCTGAATGGCAGCCACAGGCATCCTCAGTTTGGATCAGGACCACAGTTTTTTCCCTTCTGTATCTGATTACACATGGCTCCCCAAAGCTGCTATTTGCCGAATAGCAGTACTGGAGTACTATTTGAGATTGAGAAAGGGACATTGTGGAAGAACTGTTAAACTTCCACTCCCTACACACCATGGCCCCAATCTGAATTAAGGAGCCCCAATAGACACTATTTTAGCAACAAAAGCCATGCTTGCAATCCATTCACAAATCTTCCAGCTTCTTGTTTACCCTTCACCCTTAGAGCCAAACTAGATGATCTGTTTTTCCACAAATTGGGTCAGGATTTCCCTAACCTGATTCTGATCATACTGCAGCTATTGGAAGCTCTGTTCCCAAGCACACTGGGGCCAAATTGAGATCAGGACCACAGCACAGTGGGAGAAGGACTTCAGCCCCCCATGCCATGTTCTTGACCTGAAATGGCCCTGGGGACTTACCTGACTTGTGGGAGAACATATTGTTTAGTTTGGCTATATATCTATATATCTATGGGGGTCTGGATGCAGCTTTAAATAATGGGCAGAGAAGGGTAAGCATCTACTCTAAAGACAGCTCCCTTGTTCCTCTGAATGGGCCTTAATTCCTTCTCTACAAATATCTTTTCTCTTTCAGTTTTCCATAAATGCTAGAGTTGCTTCTCTGATCCCAGCCGATGTAACACATGTATTCAAAAGTATCATCATAACTAACTGTAACAAAGATTAGATATATGCAAATGTGCCATGACTGTATTGCTAATTCCTTGCACGATCGTTTCTATAGCCCTTCGTGGCAAACAAAAATGCATTATGATTACTAGCTTTACTTACTTTGGGATAGAATTTGCATTTCTTGGGGAGGGCGTGGAATCAGCCAGGATTTCTAGATCCTTTCCTCCCCCTTGCCCCCTCCCCTTTCACCTAACACAACATCATACTTATTAATAGGGTGCCCTCCTTCAGCATTCCCTTGTCCACTTCCACTCCTGAACCCTCTGCCAGTTTTGAGAAACGCTTTCCTTATAACCAGGCCTCCTGCCCTTGTGTTTCTGTCCGACTCCCTGGCTCAGGTGGTGTTCAGCGTCTCACCCTCCTTTCTTTGCAGGGCTCATCCCTCGAAGCAGCTGCTCCTCAGGCTTCCCAACCACGCAGCACTAAGCGCCCCTCCGAAGCCGCCGAAGCCGACATACAGTGGACTCCGTAAGCCAGGCTAATTACCCGTGGTGGGGAGGTGGGGAGGGGAAACCACGCTTGGGCTGGCAGCCGGCCAGGCCATGCATCCCTGTGAAGTGACCCGTGGGGAGGGCTGGCTGCAGACGGCCTCCTGGGGTGCCAGACTGGGACAGTGTCTGGATTGTGCCGGGAACAAGGGCCCTTTTTCTCCGAGCGGCTCACACAGTGCCTGAGGAAGCGAAAGCTGCTGGCTGCTGTACCTGTGCCTTGACCGGCCTTTGCCAGGCTTTGCAGACTCAAGCTCCTTGTTTGAAAGGATGAGACAACTCAGCACTTCCAAGCTGATGTGCCTTCCCCAGCCCCCGGGACGGGAGGATGTGATGGGGGGGAGGACAACAGCCAGAGAGTTTGCCTCGGCACATTCCATTTCCATGCGTAAAGCACAGTTCAGTTCATCTCAACCCGCACAGCCTGCAGAGAAGAACTCTAGAACAACAGTGCACGCACTCATAATTTTATTTGCTTTTAAGTGTTCAGCATTTTGAATGCTTAAAAAAAAAAAACACCCAGAAAACTGGCTTACGACTCTTCCCCCATAAATAGGGGACATGTGCTCACCAAATGCTTGTGCTTTGCAGCTACAAGGCTCTGTACCAATACAGACCTCAGAATGAGGACGAGTTGGAGCTTCAGGAAGGAGACCGGGTAGATGTCATGCAGCAGTGCGACGATGGCTGGTTCGTGGGTATGTCTTTGTATTTGTGAAGAAGGGAGAGGTCACTTCAAACCCTGATGTCACAATGATGTCACAAAGGCTGTCCTGGGACCAGAAGTGGGGGAAGACAGCCTCTCCGAGGCAGTTGCAAAGGTTCTCTTCATAGAGTTAAGAAAAGACCACAGTGGCTCATTGCATGATCTAAAAAAGCCCTCCAGACTGGACTTTGGATACCAGATTGAAAGCTGCCATTTGGGTGGCAGGACCATAATACAGATCAGAGGACTTCTTGGACCTCTGCAGCTCTGTTACCCTGGCATTCGTTACCAGCCCAAATATCTAAGTTAAATCAGAATCCACAAGTGGCAGTCAAACACCATTGGAACTCCTTGTATAGAAGATGCCCTGTATTAAATCAGACCATCAGTCCATCAAGGCCAGTATTGTCTACTCCGACTGGCAGCCGCTTTCTAGTGTCTCAGGTGACTGTCTTTCACATGACCTCCTGCCTGATCCTTTTAACTGGAGATGCAGGGGATTGAACTTGGGACCCTCTGCCTGCAAAGCAGAGGCTCTTTCACAGAGTAGTAAAGGTCTCCTCCTGTTGACTCTTCCCATTCACTGTGGGCTGTGCAGTTTGGCAGTGTGTGGGTAGAAAAGCACTGCTGCTTGCTGGGTCATGCACAGTAGAAGGATCCCCAGAAGCACAGAGAGTGAAGTTGCCTTAGAGCTGAACTTCTGGCTGATGCTTAGGACATGGCGACAGGGTACATTTTTGGCTTCCTTCTTGCCAGTATTTCAGTAGGCTGGCTCAGGACACTCCAGAGGAGAGTTTCTGCTGCAGCCTGGGCAGTCTTGAACCCTTTTCTACTGTACTTCTGTTTCTACTCCAGGTGTATCCAGAAGAACACAAAAATTTGGCACTTTCCCCGGGAATTACGTCGCTCCTGTGTGACTCTCCCTCAACCCACCCTGCATTCCACTTGTGCCAAGAGGAAACTGAACCTCCTGCTCTTGGGTCCCATTTCCTTGGAGAGGCAGCCCACGATTTGTAAGCAACAGCAGGGGGAGGAGATGGGGTGTGAGAACCAGCCTGGACCCCCGTATCTGCTCATCAAGGCCTTGCAGTTTGTCACTTGGATCTGGGGCTTTTACCCCACTGTCCCTTTACCCTGCTGTCTTCCAGTTTTGTGCCTACGGTACTTTGAATGTGGGGTGGCTGCAGCTTTATTCCTTTCCCCACCCCGCCCACCCAGAATTCAGGAAAC